ATAGAGGTGTTTTACAGCATCTGAAATGCTGAGGTAAGTTTGTAATTCGTAAAGACCAACATGAAGCTGTCCTGTGTGTGTGTGTGTGTATATGTGTGTGTGAGCGAGAGAGAGAGTGTGTGTGTCTCCTCTGCAGCATGCTGGCGTTGTGCCACGCTGTGAGCAGAATGGCTTCACAAATTCTGAAACACAATTGTAGTGTTTTATTTCTTGCGCTGTAGTGTGTGTCTCCTCTGCAGCATGCTGGCGTTGTGCCACGCTGTGAGCAGAATGGCTTCACAAATTCTGAAACACAATTGTAGTGTTTTATTTCCTAGTTGCGCTGTATTTCTACTGGGCTCTCAAAACAACTATGCACCAAAGTTTTAGATGCTGTTAATTCATATATATATATATATATATATATATAATAAATAATAATTAATTTATATGCTATTCGTGTGTATATATAGAGAGAATAAGATTATTTATTATTTTGTTTTGATCAGTGTATCTTATGTTTATATAAATATATAATTACATATTGATAAATTGTGTGTGTGTGTGTGTGTGTGTGTACACACACACACATTATATATTTGTTATCTAATTAATGATAAATTTAAATACAATTCATCTTATTCTCAGGGTACCTTCATATTGTTTGTGAATCTTACTCATGCTCTCTCATTCCCATTCTCCCATGGGATCATTTATCTTTGCTGCCACTTCCTCTCTCTCTCTCTTTCTCTTTCTCTCACACACGGAGCCCATCCCATGCTCTCATTTAGTTCTGTGGGCTCAGTGTAAATCTGTTAACAGAGAGGGTTGTGATTTAATGTGACACAAAGGACACATCGAGGTGAGGAGGAGCTGCTGTTCACAAAACCACTAACATCTCGTGAATTCTTAAGTCTCTCTCGCTTAATATAATCACGGTGATTCTTGTTAAACGTGGATGTGCTGCTACGTTTTACAGCTTACATTTCTTCTACTCTGATTTGGGATAACACAGGTCCTTTATATCTTCAGATTCACTAAATGGTACTGTAGCTCAGTGGGTTTCGTAACTTAAATGCAGGCGGAGAAAGTGACGCCGGTGCGGGACGGAGCTTGCTTCATCACGCGAGAGCTCAGCATCAGCATCAGCATCACTGCAGCGGGACAGGTCCATCACCGAAACTGAACCCAGAATGTGGATGTACGTACAATGTCAGCCGTGTGTTTGCTGGAAGCGTGTTTGAGCGGGGGACACTAATATCAGCTGTGTTTTCTTCGTAAGGTAAGGCTGCGTGTCTTTAAACTGTCATATGTACAGACGTTCTCACTGACGCGCTTATTTCGGTTCAGCATGATTTCTCAAGTTCTTGGAGTGACTAATTACGAGTGTCTTTATTTGTCTTCGTGTATATGTCTGGAAGAGTGTTTAACGGTGTGATGAGTGTTCTCTCGTGTTTCCACTGCGGATCTCTAGTGCTGGATTCGGTCCCGAGTGTTTTTCATTCCGCTCTTATTAACGTTCATTAATCTGCACATTATTCTCAAGGTCTGATCAAGGCGCGACTGTCAAGCTGTTCCAGGGGGTTTTGGACGAGATTGTTATTCAGTAAGAGACATTTCTCTATCAAGATGCTCAACTAGCAAACACTTTGAGATGGGCCTATTTGTACAAACATCTAGTTCAAAACCAATTCTTACATTGGGAAAAATTTTGTGAATTCTAACATCCAAGTGAAAGATATAACCAACATGTCAGGAAAAAATAAATAAATAAATGAAAAAAACAATCATTGAGTTGGAAAAAGGATCAGCCCCTTGTGTCAGTATTTTGTTGAACCACCTTTTGCTTTAATTACAGCCTTTAGTCTGTAGGGATTTGTCTCTACTAACTTTGCACATCTAGACTTTGCAATATTTGCCCACTCTTTCTTTGCTGAACTGCTCAAGTTCAGTTCAATCTGATGGTGAGCGAGCGTTTGTGGACATAAATGTAATGAATTATATATATATATATATATATATATGGTGGTGGGCCGCCTGGACCAAAAAATGCCTGGGCCGATTTTTTGTCCCAGTCCAGCCCTGCATACAAGCCACATTTGTGGAGAATTTGTGATATTGCTGTCACATGCACACAATGACCACTCTTCTGCTTCAGAGTTGCTGTAGCTCTTGGTCACATGAAAAAAAACTATCACTGAGTTGGAAAAAGGATCACCCCCTTGTGTCAGTATTTTGTTGAACCACCTTTTGCTTCAATTACAGCCTTTAGTCTGTAGGGATTTGTCTCTATTAACTTTGCACATCTAGACTTTGCAATATTCGCCCCTTCTTTGCTGAACTGCTCAAGTTCAGTTCAATCTGACGATGAGTGAGCGTTTGTGGACTGTGGTCTTTAAGTCATTCCACAGATTTTCAGTGGGGTTTAAGTCTGGGCTCTGACTAGGTCATGCAAGGACATTCAGCTTTTTCTCCTTCAACCACTGTGTGCTTTGGATCACTGTCATGTTGGAAGGAAAACCTTCTTCCCATTGACAACTTTCAAGGGCAGCAGATTTTCCTTAAGAATTTGACAGTATTTTGCCCCATCCCATCCATTTTTCCTTCTATCCTGACAAGTGCTCCAGTCCCTGCTGCAGAGAAACACCCCATAACAGGA